ATACATACATATATATATATATATATATATACGCACGCACACCAACACACACACACACACACACACACATACACACACACACACATATATATATATATATCTATATATATATCACACACACACACATATATATAATATTAGAGTGCAAATTATGAATTCATTGCTTAAGTACAAGTGGTGATAGATTCAGTGGCTGCTTACCAAGTCCAAAGTGTATGAACATACGGATACTCTGCACCACAGCCCAGTGACTATTACTTTGCGAAGTAACGGGCATCGTATCATAATTCTCGTGAAATAGTTCTCTCGTCGCAGGGCTAAGCGTGTAAATGCACTTTCCTACGTAGGCATATTTGTATGCAACGCAATTTGCCCGACAATGGTGGGACTATCGTAAGTACACTCTCTAAAGCCATCCACGCATATCGATTAGATATTGCTAAGTCATACCTGATAGGCTTCGCTGATGAGATTGAAGGCTTCCTGATTTCCCTTCTGTTTCTTCTGTCGGTCGGGGTGGTGCTTCTTGGCTAGCTACGAAGAGAGACGTACGCAATACAGCCACGTAATAGTTAGAATCCCAAAGGAGCAACCACGCACCAACGTTTAACTGCTAGCGATCAAAAAGTGCAGTCGTCTTGTACATGGGGTATTGAAGTGCAGTGCAACAGGTGGCAGCCGCCCATGACAGGAGAACACTATGGTGGATGAGGAGTTGACAAGTAGGTAACTCTCGTGTGTAACATCCAAGGTATATGGTGGTGATTTCGCACGACGAAGGAACACATGCCAGATCACCTGTCAGAGCAACCAACCATCACCTAAGCTTAAAAAAATAACTTCAATCTACGAAACAGCGTACAAACAATACGTCCATTCAGCCCAGGAGCATGACTAACCTTATTAATAGGAGCTTCCCTTTTAAACAACATACTCAACTTACAGTGTAGTAAGCCTGCTTGATTTCACTTATACTCGCCGACCTCTCCACACCCAGTATCTCGTAGTGGTCTTTCCGGTTAGTCCGCGTTCCTGAAGTTGAGCGTAGTATACGGAAGGAGTGTTTGTAATTTTACTCTTTGACATGAAAGTAAACACACATGTGCGACCCCGTTAGAGCAGTCCATGTTTATCAGAATATATATATACACACACACACACGCACACGCACGCACACACACACACACACACACACACACACACACACACACACACACACACACACACACACATATATATATATATTTATATTGAATAGCATACATATTGATTATACATATATATTCTAAACAGAATACATACTGATAGATACGAATGATATAATTTACATATATATTCTAAACACAATATGTGAATGATACATATATACATATATATTCTAAGCACAACACATACTGATAGATGCGAATGATACATATATACATATATACATATTTTTTCTAAACAAAATACATACTAATGAATACGAATGGAATGTATATATATATATATATATATATATATAAATTCTAAACACAACACATACTAATAATGCGACTGATACATATATACATATGGCATCTAAACATAAAATATGCTGATAGGTGCGACTGATACATATATACATATATATTCTGAACAAAATGTCTTCGCAAGCTTGAGGTTAATCGCGGCTTTACCCTCTAATAGCGGTCTAAACTCACACAGTATATCAAACAGCAAGTGATGAGACGATGCACACGGGGTTTTAGGGTTTAGGCAAGACCTGCACACACTTGCAGCGGCGAGCTTACCATATGTTCTTCGGTGAAGTGAACTTCCCGAACTCAGGCTGCTACCACACAAACTAGGCCGCACGCTCGTTGGCGTCCGCACAGACACATCCGACACTCCAGGGTGTGCCTGTATCCTCAGATTCCTGACACACAGCGTGTATCTCGCACTTACATACGGGTCGATTGGATAGTTCATGCAGCGGCTTCTGAACTGAAAGGTACATGCGTTAGCACATACGTGACCACTTGTGCGAGCGTCCCTTGCAGAAGATCGCAGGCTGCTGACCAGTGTTACAGGCGTTTGCCCGCAAGCAACACGGCGCGATGCGGTATTGAAGGGTAGCATCAAGTATGAGCTACTAGCTGTGGATGGAAGTAAGCGATATAGCTATACTTAATCTGAGTTCCCGATGTTATTTGAGATTGGTATTTGATATTATTGGTGCTGTACCAGTGCCGGTGTATGAGACCATTACTACGTGAACCAGAACAGTAGAACGCCAATTTCCGTGTAAACCGACGAAGTAGCTGGGAATGAAGCAAGTAGGGTTTCGAATATATGACGATAGGGGCGATGCGGTGGTGGACGCACTAGTAAGTTGTATCGATTTGCGTGTGGTGTATAACATATGTTCTCTTTTCAGAGAATGTGTGAAAGTTGTAAATAACTTGTGAAGTTGCGACTACTTGTCAGTGTCAGACTGTCAGGTTGTCAAAGTGTGTCTTCCCACTAACCTTGAGCCCGCCAAAAGTCCAAATATCACAGACTATTTACTAATATAGATACATAACACTCTTTGGATGAATTTCGAAACTTCGGTACTTTCACTGAAATTTGACATACAAGTCTCACGTGAATACAAATCAACAACTAGAATGAGAAACGATTAACAACCCCACAATTTTTCAACACTTCAGAGATATATAAATACAACCACCACTGCTACGTGTTAGATAACGCTTCTCGGCCGATTGGCTAAGATCAAGTGTAGTATCTGTTCTAATCAGTTTAATCACTGGTTTTCTACTATATGTAGAAACTATGATTAATACACTTTTTGTACATAGGAGGCGGTGCAGTGGATTTATTCACGACCTCTCCACGCATGGCCTTTGCCTTCGCACTTTCGCGAAGGCCGTGTACATATGTCAACCCTTAAACATCAAATTGTAAAATACAAAATAAAGATAATGAAATACTGTCCGTTGTTGAGGCTATTCGGAATCCTATTGCCTACCTGCGTGGACAACAAGTATAGCTCTGCTCGTGAATCGAGATTAAAGCTAGGCATATGTGTATTGAACGCTCATCACCTGCTGTTGTGTACATGTTTATGTTGGATCTACAACATATGTATCTTTGAACGTACAGTTTGGAAACTATTGCTCAATCTGGTGCTTAATGTTTACTGATTCATGTGAACAACCACAAGTTACAAATTACTATAGCAGTGAGTTTAGTATGTATCGTATACTCATTGTGTAACCTAGAAAAATGGCTATGGCGCAAATAATCAGTGCGAAATAAGTCAATAACCGATGAACGACGACTCGGCATAAGAAATCGAGTTTATTGTTGTAATCGTAGATAGCTCTAATATCATACTACTCCTTTGTACCGAAAAGTGGACGTTGTCCGTTAAGGGATTGCCCGTATTGTCATTTGAGTGCTACATGCGATTCTCGCGCTAAATCTAGACCAGCCAACAATCCGTGACCATAACAACAAATCGGATAGTCAAATTGATTATTGCTGTACATGTATCTACAATCAGAAGCGACTGCAGAACACAACATATAACTTTCATTAAAAGACGGCATGATCAACGGAACTAGCAGAACAGCAGACGAAGATGAAACACATGCATAATACTGGACCTTCGTCGCAAATATATATGTATCTATGTATCTATGTATGTATAAGCATACATACATAC